ATACTTCTGTGGGGCTAAGACATTGCCTGGATGCAGCAGTTTAATGTATGAAGAAAGCCTATAACCAATACTCGTGACTATGGTTTTGGCTCTTACAGATATCAGGTTATTAGATATATTGTAACATCCAATTTGAGGAACCACATGTAATTTCATGCATGCTATTATTGCATTCATGAGTGGTGTTTATGTCATTATGCGACATATAGCTAACAATTGGTTTTTTTTTATCACTTTAATATAAGCTGTGAATATGACTGTATTCCATGTGCAGGTCCTTCTCTTTTCCATTACCCGTCAGGTCTTTCAAATGTTCAGGTCTAATTGATTTGCGCAGTAGTGTGTTCGAGTGTTACTGTATGTTGTCATCATGCTTTAATACTCACAGTGGAATATTTTGGATGGTGATTTACATCCAAGCTATCAAATCACAAGAATCAGTGAAGTATTGCTGACACTATTCCCCTATGCCATTTGTTTCGCAGATGTTGCTGGTTTGGGATTTCCTGCCCATTATTGTAGCAATATACCGTACATAATAAAAAGTGCTTACGGCACATACCAGGCACTGCTGGGCAGATCAATAACTTGCCTTGCAATCCTCCACCGATCTCCCTCAGCAGAGTTGGAGTTTTTTCACTGTCATATAAGTAACCCACTGACACCACTGATTAACTCCCACTAATGCCAAAGAAAAAGAGCACTAAACCACTAACCACCAATTTGGAGGGGGTACTACAGTTACCACCAATGTAATATGGGTACTGCAACTACTACCAATATAATAAGAAAGGCTACACTGACCAGGGTTGCTGTTAGAAATCAGGGGGCCCCATACGCCCCCCAAAAAAATGTGTTCAAATGATATTTTCGCTAAAAATACACTAAAATCATTATTAGCAGAGAAAAACACAAAAATAACTAACACAATTTCTGCTAAATTTAAAAGATAAACCTGTATTGAGTTAATAAATAAAGCTCTGTGTATGAAAAAGGACTTGGGGCTCATTCACATGGGTGCTATGGCCTGTACAGTGTGAATCAGTGTTTTATTTATTTATTTTATGTGAATGGAGCTGTGTGTAGGTAGGCTGTGTTACTCTATGGGGATGCAGTGGCTGTATGAGCACAGTGCAGGTCCTAATGTGACAGACGTGTGGATGCAGGTGTATGGTCCTGAACACAGATAGTGTGCGTTCAGGGCCACTCACCATCACCTGCACACCTGTCAAATTAGGACCTGTAGCTGTGTTTGTACAGCCACTGCCATACAAACAAACCACTCATTCTGACTGTATTTGGCCAGAGGACTCGTGTAAATGAGCCCTTGATTTTTGTTATTGTTTTTATTACTTTGTTTACAATCTTTTTTTTTTTACAATGCTGTTGGGTGAGGGCTTTGATGAAATATCAGGGGTCTAAACAGATTCCTCCATCCCGTTCTCTGAAGCCTCAGCTGCACTGGACAGGGAATGAACAGAAAGCGCTCTGTACACAGTTTACTATGCTGCAGTTATGAATGAACTGTACACTCCCTGTTGCTTTTGGTGGGTGCTACCACCTGTAAACCGAGACCCATTCAAGTAAATGAGCCACTCTGCAAGTATCCTGCAACGGCACGCTTCTTCAGGGTCCAAGGACTTAAAGCAGGTGGTGAGAAAGCAATACACCGCTGCCTGTGTAACGCCTTGTTTTCTGTACTTCACTAGGTTGCAGGGCAATTACAAAGTGAGCTCATTCACTTGAATGGGTCATGCTTGGCTGGTACTACACCGACCAACCATCTCTACAGAGGAGACATCAACTTATGTGGCTCTTGCTCCCCATTACAGCTCCAACTTTACTTGTAGTCCCTCTGCATTGCACTCTGATGCTCTGGGATGGCGTGTCAGCAAGTCCAGACTGCGATCTACCAGTTACCTGGCCAAGATCTATTGGTTGCTGACCCCCGCTATAGACCCTCAGGATAGGGAACTACAATACCTTGTGAGAACATACTCTCTCGCCATAACCCCTTGATGCTCCTTCTGGTGTATTGGATGGCGAGTGGCTGCCTGCTTCTGCAGAGAATAGGATAATTTATGATTATGATTGTATATGTCCCACCTTCTTAATCCTGAATCATTTTTTTTGTTATTAATTAAATGAATTGGGTTCAACCACAAACCCGTAAGAAAAAGCTTTAACCTTATTACTGTATGTGTTACTGCAGCCTGAAATAGTTCATATATGGTGAAGCAAATGATGAAATAATGTGTTGCATGAACAGGGGCGGACTGACAACTCATGGGGCCCCCGGGGCAATATGGGATCATGGGGCCCCTGTGTCCTTGCCCAAACTCAAAAAAGCCTATGAAAAAGGTACCAGGGGCATCTCATGGGGCCCCCTACTGACCCCGGGCAGTGCCCGAGTTTCCAAATGGTCAGTCCGCCCCTGTGCATGAACAAATGTGACATAGTGGCCTTTGAGCTGTGAGGTAGCTAATATTTAATTATGTAATACTTTTTGATTATTGTTGGTGCCCAAGAGGTAGAATTCTCAGCGGATTTCTAATTTTGTCTTTTTAATGTGTATTTAAAAAAAATGTATCTAAGATTTTCAAGATTCGCTTGTTTTTTGGTTAATGTAACATGGGAAATTATACTGACCACCAATGTAATGGGGGGCACTAAAAAAACCACCAATGTAACTAGGGGAAATAGGTTGACTACCAATGTAATGTTGGGCACTACACTGACCAATAATGTAATGTGGGACATTACACTGACCATAACTTTACTATAACTTTCACTCCTGAGCTGCTGTTCTGGCAATAATTATCAGTTATTTCATTTTATGGAAATATTAATGAAAATAATTTTGTTACATGGAAGGAAAATGACCTTCCCCAAGGCGTGAAATACTTTGCTGACAACAACAGTACACTTTTGTGCTCTCCCTTTTTTCACATTTATTTTTTTTCTGAAAAGTCCTCCTTTAATGAATCTCAAGGCTCTTTGCTATAGCAAAACAAAATATCACTTGAATAAGGTTTCATATACTAAGCGCTAATATGAAATTTAGAAACCCACAGGAAGTAAGTTTTCAGTGTCTTTGTGTTTAACAATCAGAAAAAGACTCTATTAATACTGACATTCCTGCTGGGTCGCCTGTATTATGTAGCCTTAATACTGGAATGTTAAAAGAATTCTGAATATTAATTTGTTCCAAACTAGTTTTTCAACATATTAAAATTATTCTCTAAAAATGAAAACAGTTGCTCCCTGAGTGTTGTATATAAAGCTGGATAATTATAGCTGGTATTTGTCTTCTTCCAGCACACTGTTTGAAATGTATGGTGATCAAATGTTTATGAGATGGGTGACATTACTGGCAAGTTGTTTTATTCTAATCAAGAACTTGCATAAGGCAGACCTCATTTTTATATACCAAACTTCATGTATAATGTGAAAAAAAACAAATATCAATCTGCACAATTATCACAATCACATCAGGGAGTAAGCTAGCATTTGGAAGTGATAACTCTCCACCTCATTGTGTACCTGTAACAAAATATGTGGTGCAGTGCTACCCTCATTAAACTCAATTCACAAAAAAGCTTTCAATCATCAAGTGATATAAAAAATAATAGTGAAAAAGCCATAAATATTACTAATAGGAATTCACTGATACCATTTTTTTTTACAGCAAGTACGAGTACCAATACCTTCTATTTGTACTCGCCAATGCCAATTACCAATACTTGCCGGCAACTGTTTTGTTTACACTTCAGCTGTCAGCAGGGGAACCCTGCTGACAAGTGAATGAGTGACTGGTTGTTAAGGATGTGGCGGCCCTGCTCCTTAAGCACTTTGCCTCCCACACCTGTTCACCCCTTGTGGACCACAGCAATTTTTACATTTCTGCTATAGACCTGTTTATTCGACGATAAATTTGTCATCCACCTTACCAACCGCTCTGTTTCCACCACCCCCCTCTGCCAATCCCTCCACTGGCTTCCGATTGCCCAACGGATCAAATTCAAAATGCTAACACTGACGTACAAAGCTGTCCATAATACTGCCCCAAACTACATCACCGACCTAATATCCAAATACCACCCAAAACGCACTCTTCGCTCCTCACAAGACCTCCTTCTCTCTAGTTCCCTGGTCTCCTCCTCCCCCATGCCCGCCTCCAGGACTTCTCCAGGGCATCACCCATCCTCTGGAACTCCCTACCCCAATCCATCAGACTATCATCCATCAGACTATCACCTACTCTCCTCTCCTTTAGGCGCACCCTGAAAACCCACCTCCTCAGGGAAGCCTACCCCGCCCCCTGCTAATTGCTGATCTCCTCCACTCTTCCTACCACTCAATCCCCCACAGCTTTTCCTCCTGTACAACTATCCCCTCCCTCCTAGATTGTAAGCTCCAAGGAGCAGGGCCCTCGAACCCCTTGTGTATCGCATTGTATTGTTATTGTACTGTCTCATGTATTGTCTCCCATTGTAATGTACAGCGCTGAGCGAACTGTTGGCGCTTTATAAATACTGTATAATAATAATTACTTAAGACAACAACGTAATACATATATTGTTGTTTTAAGGACAAACAAGGCTTTCTTTTCATAAATATTGTCTTGCAACAATCATATTTTTTCACAATCCTTACACAATTAAATGTAACGAAACTAAAAAAACACTTTTTCTTTTTTTGAGCAGTGTTAGTTTAAAAAATAAAAAGTGAATAGGGAAACCTGCTGACAGCTGAAAGAACAGCTGAAAGAACCGAGTCTGAAGGTACCGGTTTCAGGTATCGGAGAATTTGCATGAGCACCAATACTCATGCAAATGCTTAGTATTGGCACCAATACTAAAGATAATAAAGAAATAAAGTCCCAATCCAGTTGACTCCTTTAAATTATACACTGTGAAGTGCAGCCTGATCACTGATGTCACTCCAACCTGCTCACCTTCATAATATGACCTCTACAAGATGTGTCCACCTCCACTCACAACATATATCTGACACAGGGGTGGACTGACCATTTGGAAACTCGGGCACTGCCCGAGGGCCCGGGGTCAGTAGGGGGCCCCATGAGATGCCCCTGGTACCTTTTTCATAGGCTTTTTTGAGTTTGGGCAAGGACACAGGGGCCCCATGATCCCCTATTGCCCGGGGGCCCCATGAGTTGTCAGTCTGCCCCTGATCTGAAACCAATAAACTTTCCTTCTATTATCTTGATATGCAGGTCCCCTGATTGACAGGTCAGTGACATCTCTATACAGAGGGAAAGATGTGATCCAAATAAATTGACCCTACTAGATGGAATCAAAGACTTCTTTACTTGACCTCTCAGACACTTCCCATTTAAATTAAATGGAATTATCACAAAAGAGCCCATCCATTATTTTTGGCTATGACACCTTTGTCTGGCAGGGTGTTGGTCTGTGAAATGAAATCTGACCATAACTGGCCCTTTTCTATGCGGTAGTAAGAACTAGCACTCTAGCATACTAACTGTATCTAAAGATGGTCAAGCAATCTCAGCGGATAGTCACAATATACTATATCTACTGTACAAAGGGGCATCATTAGTCTACAATAATGTGATGGCACTAAACAAATATAGTCTAGACCCATCTTTCTCAACCTTTTCAACAAAGAGAAACTCTCCAAATAACTTTCTGGTCTCAGGGAACTCTGCTAAAAATTACTATATTTACGAGGGGTCTTCAAAACGTTTCCGCACTTTTACACACACACACACATATATATATATATATATATATATATATATATATATGTGTGTGTGTAAAAAAAAAAAAGTGTGGAAACATTTTGAAGAACTGTTGTACAACTCATGATACATTAATGTGGTGGTCAGTGGGAAAAATACTCTTTACACTTGTGGTCATTGGGAAAAATATATACAGTTGCAAGAAAAAGTATGTGAACCCCTTGGGATTACGTGGAGTTTTGCATGAATTGGGCATAAAATGTTCTCTGAACGTCATCTAAATCACAACAATAGAAGAACACAGCCTGCTGAACATAATACTACACAAACATTAGATGTTGCCATGGTTTAATTGCACATAACATGTAAACATTCACAGTGCAGGGAGGAAAAAGTATGTGAACCTTTGGACTTAATAACTGGTTGACCCTCCTTTGGCAGCAATAACCTCAACCAAACGTTTCCTGTAGTTGCAGATCAGACCTGCACAACGATCTGGAGTCATTTTGGACCACTCCTCTTCACAAAACTGTTTCAGTGTAGCAATATTCTTGGGATGTCTGGTGTGAATCGCTCTCTTAAGGTCATGCCACAGCATTTCAATCGGGTTGAGGTCAGGACTCTGACTGGGCCACTCCAGAAGGCGTATTCTGTGCTGTTGCAGCCATTGTTTTGTTGAATTACTTGTATGCTTTGGGTCATTGTCCTGTTGCATCACCCATCCTCTGCGGAGCTTCAGTTGGCGGACAGATGGTCGTACGTTTTCCTGCAAAATGTCTTGATAAACTCTGGAATTAATTTTCCCATCAATGACAACAATCCGTCCAGGCCCTGAGGCAGAAAAGCAGCCCCAAACCATGATGCTCCCTCCGCCATGTTTTACAGTGGGGATGAGGTTTTGATGTTGGTGTGCTGTGCCTTTTTTTCTCCACACATAGTGTTGTGTGTTCTTCCCAAACAACTCAATCTTGGTTTCATCTGTCCACAGTATATTTTGCCAGTAGTGCTGTGGAACATCCAGGTGCTCTTTTGCAAACTTCAAACGTGCTGCAATATTCTATTTGGACAGCAATGGCTTCCTCCATGGTGTCCTCCCATGTACTCCATTCTTGTTTAATGTTTTCCTTATTGTAGATGTGTCAACAAAAATGTTAGCATGTGCCAGAGATTTCTGTAGGTCTTTAGCTGACACTCTGGGATTATTCTTTACCTCATGCAGCATTCTGCGCTATGCTCTTGCAGTCATTTTTACAGGACGACCACTCCTAGGGAGAGTAGCAACAGTGCTAAACTTTCTCCATTTGTAGACAGTCTGTCTTACTGTGGACAGATGGACATCAAGGCTTTTGGAGATACTTTTGTAACCCTTTCCAGCTTCATGCAAGTCAACAATTCTTGATCGTAGTTCTTCTGAGAGCTCTTTTCTGCGAGGCACGGTTCACATCAGACATTGCTTCTTGAAACCAGTAAACCCAAAACAGGTGTGTGTTTTTTTAAGGGCAGGACAGCTGTCAGCAACTCATCCAATATCATCACACTGATTGGAGTCAAGGTTGGCTCACTCCTGACTCCAATTAGCTCTGGGAGAAGTCATTAAGCTAGGGCCTCACATACTTTTTCCTCCCTGCACTGTGAATGTTTACATGTTATGTGCAATTAAACCATTGCAACATCTAATGTTTGTGTAGTATTATGTTCAGCAGACTGTGTTCTTCTATTGTTGTGACTTAGATGACGTTCAGAGCACATTTTATGCCCAATTCATGCAAAACTCCACGTAATCCCAAGGGGTTCACATACTTTTTCTTGCAACTGTAAATACATTTGTTTTCCTATATGTTTAGTTGGGTAAATACAGATTAATGTATATTGATCTTTTGCTGTCTCCTTTTAGTCATCAGGTGGAGATTTAGGCTTCTTATTAAGTATTTACTTAAAGTGTAACTACACTGTATCTGAGCACCACAAACCAAAAGCGCAATTTAATTAATTGGTAATATTCAAAGCAAACTCACCCCTCCATCCATGTCTCCATGCTTTTTTCTTTTGCAGAGAAATCACTTAAACCCCCCCTCCCCCCCAGCATTTGTCGATATAGCCATCTTGAGTAAGGGCAGATGATTCATGTAGCAGTTACTTCCTGGAATCCATCTGTCCTTAGCTCAGGCATTCAGGCAAGAGGATTTGCTTAGCTGAGAAAACCCCTCCTCCCCTCCTCAAGACTCCTGGGATGTATGGCATCATGGAACTAAAGAAATGGAAAAAAAAATAGTTTAAAACAAGTAAGTATGATATACTATTCTAATGATTTACTAAAGCTAGCAGCATTAAGATTCAAACTAGTAAACGTTGAAGTGAAGTTCCACTTTAATAAATCACAACACCCAAAGATTCGGTCAATCAGATTGCATGGTGTATTGTATACAATCTTCAGTGTGTTCTCTTCCGCTCAGTGGTGCATACAAAAAGATGAAACCATATAGTGCCTTATCCTTCAATTAGTATATTATCTATAATGAGTAATATTACTCACATTCCCAAGTTTCTGTGTGTTAACAATATGGATTTCTTTTTTTTCTGGCACTCTCCAGTCCTCTTGTGTGTTTTGTGCACAGAAATAATGAGGAATTTTTCTTTGTGATTATTCATGAATTTTATTTTATTTTATTTATTGTGGATAATACACTATTGAGTTTTCTTTGCTTTTGAGGTTCACGGCAATTATTGGAATCATACGGTGAATTTATTCAGAAATTGGAGAAAGATTTTTGGACTTTATTTTGAGTTTTTGTTACACACAATTTGATGGACACTGAAAAGGTTTATTTTAATTAAATAGTAATAAGGTGAGGAGACATATGATGGATGGGGTATGTATACAAGTGTAAATCTCTAAATGCACGATATATACAGTAGGTATGTGTTTGTGAGTAGTAGTCCTTACAATCTAATTGCTTGCATGGTATTAAGGATAAGGCACTATGTATTTTTCTCTTTGTATGGACTGAGTGGAAGAGGATTTAAAAGGACAGCATCGTGAATATTGAACAAAATAAGGTGATCTAAGAAATCTGTGAAGGATATCAGGAGTGTATTTGAAGCTGAATTATAAAATGACAAGGAGAGGGCACATCTTTTCAGGGCATGAATAGTTACATATAGTTACATAGTTAGTCTGGCTGAAAAAAGACAAACGTCTATCCAGTTCAACAATAAAAAAAACAAAAATATTGTGTGATCTAGTTATACATTCACATTATTCAAGGCACAGTTTGGGAACTTGGGAATGTGAGCAGTATTACTCATTGTAGATAATATACTGATTGAAGGATAAGGCACTATATGGTTTACCTTTTTGCATGCACCACTAAGCAGAAGCGAACACACTGAAGATTGTATACAATACACCATGGAATATGAATTGACCAAATCTTTGGGTGTTGTGATTAATTGGAGAAAAAAGACAACATTTGACCATACATGAATCAGGTCATGGGAATCAGGTGAGAGCATATCTTGACTTTTATCTGGAGTGTAGAAGAAGAGACTCAAAAAAGCAGTTTTCTAAAAATACAATTATTATTGACACAAGTGGAAGAATATAGGACAATTGGTGATTGGTTACAATTTACACTATTTCTATATAGGCACAGTTCTATTTGTAATATGCTCTGTTTTTATTTATATGGTATTAGTGCACAATTATTTGAGAGGGTGAGAGGGTGCTATATTAAGATAAATCCAAAGCAGCTTGCGAGATACATTTCATTAGAAGTTTCAATTTAAGTTGGCCCTATTGGACATTTAATGCAAAGCAGGGATGAGAAACTGGGAGATCTAGTAGTAAAAGCAGCACACTTTACACTTACTACACTTGGGTGCAAATTTAACCCCTTGATTGTCAAATAAGTTAACCCCTTCTCAGCCAGTGTCATTAGTACAGTGACAGTGTATAGTGTTATCACTGATCACTGTTTTAATGTCACTGGTGATGTCAGTGACAGTTAGCTGGCATTAGTAATATAAAAAAAAAATAAAAAAAAAAAAAATTCTAGTAAATATACTATAGTTTGTAGGCACTATAACTTTCACGCAGACCAATCAATATACACATGTAGCAAAATACATTTTGGCAAAAATGTATGAAGAAATTAGATTTTTTATTTTTAATTGGATATGTTTTGTAGTAAGAAGTATTGTTTCTTTTTAAATTTTCAGTCTTTTTTCATTTAGATTGTAATTAATAACAAAAACCTAGCAGCGATCAAATACCACCAAAAGAAAGTTCTATTTCTGTGAAAAAATTATATAAATTTTGTTTGGGTACAGCATTGCATGACTGTGCAATTGCCAGTTAAAGTAGCGCAGTGCAGAATAGCAAAAAAAAATGACCTGGTCATAAAAATGGTAAAATCTTCTGGAGCTCAAATGGTTAAATGCACTTTGGCATCTAAGCTGAAAAAGGTGTGCACCATCAAAAAGTTGTTTTGCATATTGCATTTTAAGTCCTCTATAAATATGAATACATATATAATTTTTTTTATGTAGT